CAGCTGTGTGCCCAGCCAGCCTGGTGGCATGTCCCTCGTGCTGTGAGTCAGATAGTGGGCCTCATGTCTTCACATCGGGAGTCCACAGGGAGCTGGAAACATCTTTGCACAAGTCCCAGCCAAGGAGACGTGCGCTCTCCGTCCTTGGGTTCTAGGCCCACCCAGTAGCCTGGGATCACTCACCTGCTGGGCCTTGGCTCCTGCCCTCGCACCAGGCCAGGAGGTCAGCACTTGAGCCCATGGGTACCTGAAATTAGCCAGGAAAGCGCCCAGACAGCAGCAAGGGGCACAGAGGCAGCTGCAGAAGCCAGCAAGCTCACATTCCTAATCTCTCTCCTTGTCTGCGGGGCATCAGCTCCTTTGTGGGGTAGTAAAGAACAGAAGAAATTTCAGTGCCACCATCATCCCTAGGGTGCTGTGACAGGTGTCACCCCCTACCCCACTCTGGCTGTTTTTTCTCTTCAGTGAGAGGAGGGCTTGGTCACCTGGCCTTGGCCAAACCCCTCCCTCCCTCCGTGCCCCAAGGTGCGTCTCTGAAGGGAGGTGCAGTGACTCAAAGTGGCCAGCCGGTGGCAGTACTGAGACACAGCCTTGGTCACTGCCCAGGAGACCGCCCTGACTCTTCTTTGGGAACCCCAATTCTCAGGTAGCCCACGCTTAGAAGGGCCCTGGACATGGTTTAATCCTCTGCTGTCTCCATCTTGTAATCGTAATAGTTATTGAACGGGAAACCCGCATTTTCATTTTGTGGTAGGCCCCAAACTTGGGTGCCAGTGGCAGGACTCAGTTACCCCAGGGCGTCTCGCCCCTGAGATCTCTCAGAGATGCGTTGGGCCTGCCCTGTGCTGGGCCTTCACTCGGTCCTCCTGGGCTCCTGCTCCTGCTGTCTACAGCAAGGCCTGGAGAGGATGTGGATGCTGATGGAGAGGACATTTCACCAGAGAAGGCCCTCACCTCGAGAGGACGGACATGTGACCTGGGGCCAGGCGTGGGGGAGCCCTGACAGGGGATGAGCAGATGCAGGCAGCTGGACAGAGGCCCCCCGGAGAGCGGGCACTGGAGTCACGTCCCCTGCAGCATTCTGGGAGTGGTGATGACTACTTTGGTTTTTCAGAGGGAGAGATGGAGCCCAGGAGCTGCGGGACGTATCCATTGTCAGGAGTGGGCAGAGGCCTTGCTGGGAGTCGCCTGGACAAGGAGAGGGATGTGTCCACTTGAGGAACCTAGGGAAGGGGCCCAGCAGGAGTCAGTAGAGGCCTCCAGTGAGTGTCGTCCAGGAAGGGAGAAGCTGCTATGTCCACCTAGGTCTAGGGCCATGAGGACCCCAAGTGAGAGGACCCAGGACCCAGCCCGATGGGGTGGTGGAATGTCAGAAAACGGGGCCAGTGAGTCAGGGGGTGGTCTTCACACGGCCGAGTGGCAGCCGCCCTCTTCCTGAACCCCCCAGGCTCCTGGGCTGGGAGAAGTGCTCCAGGCAGTCGCGGGCCACTGCATCGCTGGTGCTGGTGTTCCAGCTGCCCCAAGGGTCCAAGGACCTCCCAGCTCCCTCACCTGCAGGATGGGGAGAATAACAGACCGCCTCGGGACTTCCCGGATGCGTGAGCCACAAAGCACAATCAGGATGGTTGTCAGCTAAAAATAAACTGAGGAAATCAGAAGTGAGGACTTGGGCCAGGAACAGGGTCGGGTGCTGCGGGACAGCTTCCCAAGTGGGAGCTTCTCCCTGAGGATTCCTATGCAGGTGGTCGAGCTGGGGCAGTTATTTGAAGGATTTTCGGCAGAGGCAAAGGAAAGCCAGGTCGGGTCGGCTCGGATCCCCGTCTGCTGTCTATGGCTGAGGAAAACAAAGCACGCTGTCACCATGCACCGGCTGTTCGGAGCCCTGTCTTCTGGGACCTGGGAGCCCTGTCTTCTGGGACCTGGGAACCCTGTCTTCTGGGACCTGGGAACCCTGTCTTTGAAGTTACCGATTCACCCCAGCAACTGTTTTCGGGTACTGCTTCTATCACACAGCAGTTCTTGGGAGGCAGCCCCTCCCAGGGCCAGGCCAGCTGTGTCCCCTGTCCCCACACTCCTTAGTGACATGAGGGAAAGGAGAACCTTTTTTTTTTTTTTTTTTTAAGATTTATTCATGGGCTCTCCCTGGTGGCGCAATGGGTTAAAGCACCACCTTATGAAACTCTCTGAAGCCCCTGCAGCTGGAGTTCGATCCCTGGCCAGGGAGCTGACCCACAGGGCACAGCAGACCTCTCCTGGCCTGCCCGCTGTCCCCCTCAGCAGTGGATTTTGGTAGATCTACCTGTTCTGCTCCCCACCCTGTCTCTGGTGACTCCTCTCACCCACCACACCTCTGGCCCAGTTCTGTATGCATAAATAAATCTTAAAAAAAAAAAAAAAGATTTATTCTTTATACATATAAGAACTGGGGTACACACCGGAGGTGCAGGCGGTGAGGGATTTCACCAGACAGAGTGGGGAGCAGAACAGGCAGGCCTACCAAAGTCCACGGCTGTGGTTTCAACTGTGGAGGACTGTGCCTGGGTGGGAGCTGGGAAAGGCTTCTTCTTTCTGTTCCTGTGCCCTCAGTCCCCGCCTAGCACAGTCCTCCACCCCTCCTCAGGCCCCTCTAGCCCTTCGGCATCTCACCCCAGACAGCACACAGATACCCCATATCTGCTTGGGCCACCCTGTTCCTGACTAGCCCTATCCTCTCCCCAGGAAATGAAGTGGCCCTTACTCCTGAAAAATGCGGACCCTTCACCACTGCCAGAAGCCCACACACCCATATTTCTCTCTTGTATCATCAACCCTCCTCTGTTAGCTAGATAGAAGTTGTCCTACAACAGCTACCCCCAACACACAAACCCTCCCCTGGGGACCAGGCCCTCTCGGCTCTCTGCCCTGTGTTCTCCCCACCCAGCCCCAGCCCCCGCCAACCCCAGGTCTCCAGGGGCCTCCTGTGGGCCCCTCTAGTTCTCCCCTATCTTTCACTTCTAGTATTTGACATTTCACCCTCCTTCCTTGCTGTGGGTAGAGACATGGAAATGGTATTTAGCATCCGGGGCATCTCTAGAGGCTGGAGTCAGGAGATGGATGATCCTCGTCACTGTGAAGAACCCCACGTGCAAGCCCCGCCTGTAGGGCCCAGAGACCCAGCCCTGTTGCGCTTTGAGCGGCAGGAAGGAGCAGAAGAGCGGGGAAGCCTGGCCGCCACCCCCACTCCACAGGGCACGTGCAGGATCAGAGGCTGGAGCGGCCCTTGGTCCTTCCATCTTCCCAAACACAGGCCCTCCACCCTAATTAAGATCCAGGGGTGGCTTTGAAGTTATGAGCAGAGTTTCTCCTACATCAATTAACTAAGTTTGTAAGAACTAGCCTCCTTCAATTAGCTAAACATGTTAAAAATTAACTACACCTTTTCTTTCCTTTGTTAAGAAGAGTTAGGGCCCCCGTGGTTGTGCAAAGGGTTAAGTCTCAGCACTGTGAAACTGTCCGCAGCCCCTGCAGCAGGAGATTGATCCCCTGCCAGTGGGTGACCCCCAGGGCGCAGCAGGCCTCTCCTGTCTCCCCCTGTCCCCTCAGCAGTGGGTTTCAGTCCATCTGCCGCTCTGCTCCTCACTCTGTCCCTGGGGAATCCCCTCACCCCCTGCACCTCTGGCCACCCCAGTTCTTCTGTGCATAAATAAATAAATCTTAAAAATAAATAATTTTTTAAAGAAAGAATAATTAGGAATTCTTTCTGTGCATGCACATCACCTCCATAATCTGAGGTACCACCCCAAGGGCAGGCCTGGCACTCGGAACCTGACGTTGGCCTCTGGCCGGCAGCTGGATACTCAGTTTAGCTCTGAATCACCTCACTGATAAAGTTTTATTTATTTTTATTATTA